TTTTGCACTAAAATTGGTTAATTCGAATTCCCGTTTTATACATCACTACTAGATACATTTGGTAAGAATATAAAATTTATCAATGCAAAACCACACCAAGTTTATATTTTTCTAACTTGTACATATTTGCACTCTTACCAAATACAGACTAAATACTAAACTAAAATACCATAATTGGTTAGAACAATACCTTTAGGGGCATTTGGGCTAATGCACCTATAGATTTTTTTGATTACCAAAAAGAAAGAACGACCTAAAAAGTCATGATAATATAAAACTTTACCTTCAGGGTAGTCCTTCCAACCGATTAAACAATTGTAGAGAAAAGGCAACTTTTGAAATTCAAGAATAGAAATGTTTTGAAAGATAGATGTGACCTTGAAAGAGAGGGGAAGTAAACAACACGAGGGTAAAGCTCTATTTGAAAAAATATAGAAGTAAAATATGGCCCGGTTTGGTTCAACTTTCATTCTTATCCAAGATGAAATTCTAAAATGGACAAAGATGGATAAAAATGAGTAGAATGAAAAAATATTACTATGAACCAAACACTTTTATCTTAAAAATGAATTCTTTTCAAAATGGTTAGCGCCCTATGTAGCTTATTTTCATTCTTAAACAACATTGTGTTAGCGGTCATAAACCACCAACCTAGGTCTCCAGAATTGTCACATAGATGTTTACTGGTGGATAGTCGGTGATCAATGCCTATTGGCATAAAGTTTTCATGACAGACCACCAACAAACATTAATGGTGATGATTTTGTAGACCTGGGACAGTGATTAATGGCTTTTGACATAGAATTTCTTTAAAGAATGAAAATGAGCAAGATGGGGCATGATTATTTTTCATGTTACAGGATGCCTCAATTTTTGTGTTATGAGTTGATTTTTTATTTTGAAAAAAATGAGGCCCATTGAAAGAATTTTGTAACCGAATGCTCTATTTTTATTCATTCATGCCCATTCTTGCCTAGAATGACAAAGAATTATAAAAATGAGGCCTAAAGCAACGGACCAAATATGGCCAATAACAAAGGCCATTGACTAGAAAACTCAAAAAAAAATTATAAGGAGGAGAAAAGTAAAAATTTACCAAAAATAATTTTCACTTGCCAAAATGTCCTAAACATTTAGAGATGTCAAAGTCTACATGATAAAGCTGAATCGACTGAATCAATCATGTTGGTTCTAGTTTTGTGGTTTGTGCATGCTTGGATAAATAATTGGGTGAGAATTGATTCTTGCTATTCCAAACCAATTAAAACCCAGACTGGTTATATTAGTGAATAATATATAAGGGTGTCTTGGTTTTTTTCTAGTTTTTGTTATACTTTATGTCTTAAAGTGTAGATTTCATAAGGTAAATTTGGTTAAAAACACTTGTCTTATCGACATATGAACAATTTATTATTTATTTAAAGTTATATTATGAAAAAGGAAGTTCTAAGTTGTTACTAAAGTATAATCGCATCAAGAATGTGTATTTCAAATATTAATTGGTGGATCTGCTTTATAGTATTGATTAATCAATTTAAGACTAAAGTGTTCATGGGCCAAACTGAGTTTGGGACAGGCTTTGTCTCTTTATTAATAGAAAATGTTTAGCACAAGCCCGATTTGGAATATATAATACTAGGAGGACCCGTGCGATGCATGGGAAAATCTGAAAGATTGATAATTTTATTTACTATCAATTAATTGATAAATTAATAATTAAAATTTGCTGTTAATTAACTAAAAGTATTCAAAGTTATTGCTAATATTTAAAATTTTAATAATTGTATTTTTCATTTAATGTTGTTTTACAGAAAATAATTATTGTTAATTTAATATGAACAAATATTTTTTAATAAATTTAATTTTATTAATCATTTGTAGTAATTTTAATATCTACTATAATTTTTATTATTTTTAAATAAAATTTTGATTGAGTTTAAATAAATAAAAATAATTATAAAAGCTAACATTTTTATTAATTTCACTAATAATTAACAATTATATAGGAATGGCAATGGGGCAGGACACCCTATCTCTATCCCCACCCCGTCCCTAGTGTCAGGCGGGTTTAGGGCAAGGCACCCACTCTCCATTAGAAACGAGAAATCCTTTAATTTCCCTGCCTCATCCTTAGTGTCGAGCAAGTTCAGGGCAAGGCACCCACTCCTTATCAAGGATGGGGAATCATTGAATTTTTCCCGCCCTGTCCCTAGTTTTTGGGAGGTTCAAGGCAAGGTACCAACTCCCCGTCAACTCAATCTTCAATTTGATGACACAAATGATCAAAAGGATATATTGACTATCAATCACATGGTAAAATTCTAAAAGTACAATAAATTGTTTTTAATTTTCAAAAATATAGTTTTATGAAAATTTTGGAAAAAATATTACATTTTTGTAATTTTGAAATTTTATTTTTAAATTGTTATTAAATAATTTATTTTCTTTTTAAATGATTTACTTACAAAGTTACACTAATTTATCTTAATAATTTGTGTATTTATTGGTTCAAATTATAATTTTCCCTTTCCCATACTCATTTATCTTATTAATTTTCAATAATTTACAATGAAAATAACATAATTTGTCAATATTTTTCCAAAATATAACAAATCTAATAAAATTTCCTAAAATATGCAAAATACTCCAATAATTTCCAATAATTATTTAATACATTTTAAATAAACTTTCAAAAATTTTATATCTTTTAATTTCTAAAATGTTATTTTATGAAAATGTAGTTTTATGAATTTTTTTGAAAATTTTATTACATTTGTGTAATTATGGAGATTTATTGAAAATTATTTTAAATTGTTATTAAATATTTATTTTTATTAGGTAGTTTACTAACAAAATTACACTAATTTATATTTTATTTTCTAATATAAATTAATTAATAATTTCATTTTCCAAAATTATAGTATTTTATTCCTCCATCTGCATTCGGCTATTAACTATGATAATAGCAATAACTAAAATTTTATACTTGCTGATAATTATTAAATATAATTTTCAATTTTATAAAAATTTGTTAAAGAGTTCTCAATTTCTATAAAATGTTGTTAATGAACATGAATGTAACAGTATTAACCCAAAATACCTTAAAAAGTCATGATGAGTTAATTAATAACAATATTTATTAATTTTTGGTAATTTACTAACCATATTTATTAACTTTTGGTAATAACACTATTTAATACTCATTAAATATGGGTTAGATTAAATATTAACTATATTTAACTATTTATTAATTAATATGAATATTTTAAATGAGATAGAGGGGATATAGATTGGGGGGAGAGATTTTAGGAATTGATTGGAGAGTATGGTAGTTCCTAATGGCTTAGAGGAGATACCTTAGGAGAGTGATTCAAGGAATATTTCTAAGTAGTTGGGTTGGGAATGGTGACATAGCTTAATGGGTTGGGAATGGGAAAGGAAAGAGAGTAAAGAAGAATGTAGGGTGGGGGTAACGGAGAAAGGAGGACTAGACTGTCTTGCTATATATATATATATATAATAGGGCTAGTAAAACAGAAAAGTACGGACAGGCCTAATGCAGATTTCTGAATTCCCCTGCAAATCTATAAACATTCAAAAGGTCAAAAACCCACACTGTACTTTGGGCCTATGAATTCTAACCCTGGGCTGAACGGTCATTCTCCCACTAGTAAAAAATAGATATTATACTATGTACATTATTAATATTACCAGGCTGGGCTCAGGGTTGAGCTTGTTTTGTTGGAGAAATCCCGAGCTTGAGCTCAAAGGCCTAAAATTTTGTCTGAACCTGATAATGAATAGGCTAGGCCAAGCTAGTCCATCGGTTACCTGATCCATGAAAAAATCTATTCAGGATTGGTTCATTCTATCCCAAACTAGACCCGACCCATTGATAGCTCTACAATAATGACATTCCAACAAATGTTTCTTTGCCACAAATCCAAACTCAAGAGTAAGGAACACTAAATTGGGATCTACTCTAAACAATGACCTCACAGTCACATCCCACCTAGAGATGTCAATGGTAAACCCGGCTTGGCCCGACCCTATACGGTTGGGTTAGGGTAAAGTATATTCGGTTTAGGGTCGGGTTAGGATTTTGATTCTTCAACCCGAGTCGGGTTCAGGTTTTGACTAGCCCGTTTCAGCGGGTCATGATACCTTACATATATTCAGAGTATTCTTGTTACTTTTTGACTTCTAACTCAATAGCATTAAAGTTTAACATTTATTTACATATTGATTTTGTTTTATTTCTTCTTTTATAAATGGAAAAAGTGACACCTTATAATCTATAAAACAATTTCCTAACTTAAATTAATAAATTTTATGTCTTCAAAACATACAATTGAAATGTTACGGGTTTGGTCGGGTTGATATTAGGTTAGACCCTATATAGAGTCAAATTGGGTTTGGGAATCATACATTTTAAAGTCGGGTCAGGTTTGAGTTCGGATTGGGGCACTAGAGGGTCAGGTTAGAGTTGAGACAAACCCATGCCGAACCCGACCCATTGACCTCCTAATCCCACCGTGTAATGGAGTAATAAGATATAGGTACGGGAGATGTTAGTGATGTGTGGTTGGTTACTGCTGTGAGGCAGTGTAAGGAGCGTTCAGTGAGGAGTATCCGCTATCAGGAACACCACTGTAACACTGTCCACATCAGCTCCATACTCCATAGGCGTTTTTGGTACTACATGTTGGCAGACATGATGTACCAAGATTGGCCCAGTATGCTTCAATTACCGCAGAGGATTGAAATCGAGTATAGATGAGGCGATCCTCAAGGAGAGGGGAGCAGGACACTAGGACAGTACTGGGCCAGTCATGATATGACAGAGTGGGCATGGAGCCTCGTGATTAGAACAGTATTACGAGTAGAACCGTAGTCCGTAGACGACTAGATGACTTCAAGTCATGATCTAAAAAGCCTAAAAAGGTTGGGAAGGGAACGGAAGCTGCTACAGAGCCACGAATTTAGCCACGTCAGAAGGGTGACTCACTGGCATTAGTCTTAACTGTGAGCGTCTGAAAATCGACAGCTCCTCTCAGTCCACGCCTCTTTCTCTCCCTTTTGTTGGTTTTCACGTCTGAAAGCTCCTTAGAAAGCTTTCGAGCGACGAAGCTTCCCTTGCTCGTTCGCTCGAGGGTTTCTTTTTTTCTTTTTTTTTTTTTGACTGCCTAATTTTCATTTTTGTTCTTTATCCTTTTTCTCGCTATCGAATTCAGCAAGATGAGACGCTCCTCAACCAGGAAAACCGGGCCTGCAAATCCCGCGTCGTCCATGAATTCCTCGGCGACTGATATCTTTCGCTCTGGTAATCGATCTTCCTCCTTTTTTTTTCCCTTTAATTGGGATTCATTTTGAGCATTTGATATCTGTATCTGGTATAACTTTGGCAATTCAGTTTACTTTTACATTGTAATTGGTTTTTCTTATTTGTTTCTTTATTCAATTTGATAATAGCTTGTAATGATATTTATTTGAAAACAATAGAATTCTTTTGGGCCTTTTATGGGTTGAATTGGTGATTTAGATCCATTTTTCGGTTTCTTCTTATCTATGCTTGAGATTAGAGGTAGATTTTTCTCCCTAACGATCATTGAAATTTCAAATAGTAAATCATTCAGTATGGGTGCTTGTTGATTTATCTCATATCCTCCCAGCAAATTCGTAGTTCAGGGCCTTCAGACTATTCGGAAAACAAAGAAACCAAAACCTGCCCCTTCAATTGCCTTTAAATAAGGTTTCTTCAATCCTTCCTGACCTTAATAGTGGTTATATTGCAGTTTCCGTTGCCGAAAAATCTTGTTGTGGTAATCAGTTTGAAGAGAGCAAGGTTTAAATTTTAAAATGTTGGTGTCGATGGAAATATGGTTATCTAAATATAGGAAATATGTTGGAAATGTGGGAAATGTCATATTGTAAAAATTATAGACATGGTTGAAACGTTTTGAAATATGCAAGATATAGAATGCTATTTTACATAATAATAAAAGGTGCATAGGTAGACCCTTTTTAAGTAAAATTATATGCTAAGATGTTGTCCTGTAAGCTTTAAGATTCAAAACTACATGATAAAGTGAATTCAAGAAAAATTTAAACTCATAGAAAGTGTAAATGATTCTAATAGATCAACCAAATAATTTATTATACAATAAAAACTAAGGTTTAACTTTATGTTTGAAAATAATTTTGAGCTGGCTCAAAGTGGTAATCATGTCCGTTGGGCAGGCATTAACACTGCTACACAACATCTAAAATATTGCCACCAATTTATGTTATAATACTATCTCTAGTATTCCGCATAGCATTGGTAGTTTCCATTGTGGACTATATCAATTACAGTAATATTTCGTGTGAATACCCATGGAAATGGAAATATGTCATGGAAATATTAGGAAATATGTGGACATTTTAAACCATGGAGAGGAAAACACCCCCTTGCCCCTTTAGCTTATGTTCCATATAAGATAGTAAGATCCTTCTTTTGACCATGAATAAGGTGAAGGAACGGTTTACTTGTTTAGCATGGGCCGTCGTTCCTTTAGCTTATGTTCCTTATTTGGTACTGGACTATCTTGCCCAATTTGTAGTAGAAGAATTTGGGGTCATATTGCCAGGTTGGAATAAGATATCATCATATCAACTTACTGTACTTTGAGGGTACAAATGTGTACTTATAACACATTTGCAAGCTGGGGCCAGCCCCAGAGCATTGGCTATGAATAGTAGCTTCCTTCTGCATGAAAGAATTAGTTATGGTTTACATCATGTCTGTTGACTTTCTTTAACACAAAAAAGTTGAGGTAGTTCTCCTGTTGAAACATGCATAGACCAGGAAAATTTAGTGTGTTAGTTTTACTCAACAAATGGCCTGCCTTCTTCTCTTAGTGAGTTCCTTTCTATGGCTCTTATCTTTCTGTTTTGAGCAACATATCAATAGGAGATACGAAAGCCTTATTGTGGGTTTGACATAACTTTATATTTGGTACCATTATTGGGGTTTCTGAATTGCTTAACCTGAGGAAATGGTTCTTCAGTATGCAACATTCCATGATCATTCTTGGTTGGAACTAAGACAGAACTAAGTGACTAAGGGCTATCTGGTAATAACTGAAGTGGCTGAACTGAATGACTTTTTGCTTTGTCTTTAGTACTTTTGGGGTCTTAGGATGGCCATTAACTTGTGTCCTGATTTTGAGGGGTCAAATCTCATCTATTCTTAATGACTTTAAGGTTGTTTGGAACTGTGATGTGCATTCATGTTTAGAGTCTATATAAGCTCCATGTGGGTATTTTGACTTCATAGTACCAAAATCATGTTTGCTTGGGCAGGTTTAACTTCAAATGTTTTTATCACCCTTTACATCGAGTTATGTGCATGGGGGGGGGGTGCTGGGTGAACATCTTTTGGTGTTTCCTCCGATGCTATAATTCAGGTACAAATGTTGAGACTGAAACACCAAGGCACAAAGTACCTACTTAGGTATCATTAGACAGGTTTTTAGTTAGCCATGTACAAATGGTTCTTTTTGATAAATAAATTGATTTATTATTGTAACAAGGAGAATACTGATACAAGTTTTTTTGGAGAGGCGTGAACTGCGTACTCTCCTTAGCAAAAGCAAAAACAAACTACAATTGAGTCCAGAGCATTGGCTGCCCCTTGCTTGGCTAAGTAATCTGCCAGAGCATTGGATTCTGTAGCCATTTAAACACCTTGTTAGCCATTTAAACCTCTTAATTTCGTACTTATAACACCACACTACAGATTCTGGATTCTGTAGCCAGCCCACTACCATCTTGAAGTCACCCTCAATTAACAACTGTGCTACTCCTAGCTGATTTGCAAGCTGTACACATTGAATTGCAGCCAACGGCTCTGCCCTAGTGGAGTCTCCAACTCCTAAGGGATCTGAGTAGAGAAACACCACATTTCCATTCCATGTACAAATGTTGAGACCAAATATTTTGTGCATCCAATGTATTTGAGCAAGTTATGGTAATTTTAGTAACAGGGTATCGGTTAATGATGGGATTTGGGTTTTAGTAATTTTGTTTTCATTAGGACATCTTCTTAGGTTTAAGTTAGGGTTTTATTTCTTATAAATAATTTTTATTGGGAATTTTTCTTGATAGATTACTATATAATTGTTATTAGAGGAATTTCAAATAACTTTATGATTGGATGACATTTATGTTATTTCTTTAAGATTTTTATCAATTTTCTCTTGTGGATTAAAGATTTTTTCTCATGGGAACAAGACAGTGATCTTCTTCTTATTCTTCTCTTTTTCACGCTTACTGCCACATTAAAAGGTCAGAGACGCATTTCCAAATGGCAAATAACTACAATGGATAGAAAGGTATTTCACCACCTCTCCATCATCGAGGCACAGCCAATAACCATGTAGCAACAAGCACCACTTGTCACTTTTGGAGCATTTACTAAATATTAATCTTCTGATTACTAACCTCTTAGAAGTACATGTCTTCTGGAGCTGAAATCTCCTAACCATTATTTATGTGAATGTGATAAGATTGTTATCTGTTTTAGTTATCAAATGAGGTTGTATTCTTTTCTTCCAAATGTTTAAATAGATAGTGAAGGGAGTCAAATGGCAATAATTATTTCATTTTGTGTTTGAATTCCTAGGCTTCAACAAACTTAACCTGAGCTGCTAAAAACTAGATTAAGAACAGTAAACAAATGCTGAATGGACGATCAGATATGCTCTGTGTTGGTCTCATAATGAAATTTCAGTTTATGCCTAGCCAGTGATTTCATTTTCTATTTTCTTGATACCTTCACATTATTTTGGGTTTCTTTCTTTTTTTTTATTGGTAAATTTAAATTTTTTTGCTTAATGAGAAAGAATATGTGTACATATGCACCAGTTACATCCCAAACAGCTAGAGCTAGTGCCTAGCAGTGAGGCACCTGACCCATTGCCCATATGTTACATTACAAATTTCCCCCAAAAAACTAATCCTATTTGCCCTTTGTTTGGCTATTGCATCAGTCATATTATTTGCAGATCTTAGGATCCAAGAGAAAGTGGACTTTTTTTTTCTTGCTAAATGCCTAGTCTTCCTCATAATGTGTTTGAACCATCACATCCCTTGTTCACTATTCTTCAACCAGCTTGCAACTTCCTTGTAATCCCATTTGAGCAGTAGGTTCCTGTAATTTAGTGATTTGGCTATCCTTAAGCCTGTAGGAAGCTAGCAATGCAGATCATATAGAGGTTGCGTATCATATTGCTCCTGAAAATATTACTAATAGAGGTTACTCATCAAAACTTAATTTTATTTGGGACATCTTTGGTGGGTTCCACAATGCAATTGAATGCATACACTATCGGTCTAGCTGTTGAAGTTGAAGCTGCTCATTTCTGCCTTTTTAGGATTCCATACACAGAGAATGGTGCAAAAAGTGTATAAAACAGAACAGATTGGCAAAACAAGATTCATGTAACTGACCCCATACAGTTGGGATAAGGCTTTGATGATGATGATGATGATAATGGGGCAAAAAATTCAGGAATTTTAACCCAATCTGTCACTTTCATTGCTATACTGTCTGTAGTACTTCCTTGGATCATGCTCTCAGGTTGAAAAATTTTTCATTCCTTAATTCCAAATTTCCAATAATGTTCACAGGACTGTTGCTTTTGTGCATCTCTCCACAATATCTTCCCCCTCCTAGGCAAGGTGAAAAACATTGACTTAAAAAACCCCACGCTTGTTAAGCCTTCCTTTCAGTTCAACCTTAATCTTGCCAGCTTTGTGGTCATCAACATATTCAAATTCCCTGATATAACCATGCTTCTACATGACAAGGATAAACTTGGTAATTACTTTTTGCAATGGTCTTATCATAGTATATTGCCCCCCCCCCCTGCTTCTCTGCATTGCACATGCTTTTAAGAGCATCATTTATGAAGCTAACTCTCACCATTTTTTCCCAACACTTGCTCCTGTAAGCAGAGATCTGTGGCAGCCTCTCTAAGGCCCAAATAGCTTTCCATGTTTGATTGAAGATTCCATCTGAAACCAAAAAGAGAGAAGCAATTCCAAATGCTAGATGCAAAGGGGCAAGAGATTAGTAAGTGCTAAGTAGTTACTCCACTTACATTATAAAGAAAGCAGATATATGGGGACACACACCAGTAAGGTCTCCTTTTTTGGAGGGTTTCACAAGTTTTCAGTTTTGGCTGATACACCACTGACCACCCAACAAAAGCCCTAATTTTAGGAGGCACCAGCCCACTTCAAATGTCTTTAATCAGAAAGTCTTGCACAGTAATTGAAAGCTGTAGGGGTTTTAAGAAAGAAGCACTGGCAAATGGCCTTGAAGGATGGACAGACCATATTCTACAATCAGATTTGGAAGCGTCATGGGAAACTCATTCAATGGAACTCAATAAATTTATAACTTCTTAGACTTCATGATCCTTATGGCTTCTCCTAAACCCAAAATCCCAGTCAATCATGTTACCAGGGAAAGAAGCAAAGTAAGAAATAGGTTAAAGTAGATAAAAGGAATGGAATATGATCCTTCAAGGGCTCTTCCCCACCCAAAGGTCTTTCCAAAATAGACAGCATAGCTGATACTCAATAAAACCAGAACAGACTAAAGATAGCTTTCCGAAGAGAGGTCAAGCATGTCAATCAAATTTTCTTCTTAACCATTGGCATGCATCCCATGAATGTCTACCACCACCACCCTGTGCCAAAGTTTGTAATTGTCTGTTAGGAATCTCCACAACATGTTTACGAGAAAAGCTGAAATCTTCACCCCGAGTTTACCCATCCTCAAGCTGCCTTGATCTTTTTCTTGCAACCAAAGCTGGAATTCTAAATACAAAATGGTAGTAGATGGGTTGGTTGACAGAGGTTGAATTTATGAGCATTATTCTTCTACATAAAGAGATGTAATTTCTTTTCCATGTTGTTAGTTTCTTATTGAACCTATATAGGACCAGGTTCCAATAGGTATTTGATCTCAAGTTGCCACCTAAGTGAAGATCAAGATGCTTCATAGGCCATTGGGTATTAGTGCACCACAATACTTCAGTGTACCCGCCAGCTCTTACTACCTCATGTTCATACCTGCAATGCAATTTTTGTCTATGTTGATTTTTACATGTGATATTTTCTCATAACATTTTATCAACAACTGTATGTTCCTAACTCTTACTTCCCTCATATAAAGTGATAATGTGTGCAAATTTCAAATTGGTAACCACCATTTCATCTCTCTCTCCTAATCTCCCAACCTTTAGTCAAACCAAACCTGTCTGCCCTAATGACCAACTTGCTAAGTATATAAACAGTAAGGGTAAAAAGGAATGGAGAAAGGGGGTTTCCTTGTCTCAATCCTTTTTTATCTGAAGAAAAATCTTTAACAACCTCATTGACCAAGACTAAGTAGTGGCAAGTCTACAAATATTCCGTGATCCTTAACCTCCATGTATCTCCAAAGTCACACTTCTCTAGGATCTCATCCAAAAAGGGACAAGCCATATGCTGGTGTAGTTTTAGTTTGTATTCTTTGTATGCTGCATTAGATTCATTTTGTCTCTTTGTTGTATTTGACCAGTTGTAGAAATCCGGGATGCCATTATTGTTACCTTTAACCATTTAAGGTTGTCTTGTTCAGCCTCAAGCAAAGCTATTATCAAGGAGTTGGAAAGGATTGACCACCTATTTAACTTGTATGCAAATAGGTCTTCTGGCATGATTGAGTAAGTTTATTTTACCTACATATTCGAACTATATCCTGTACTGATATTTTTATGATAAATTTATAAAGGTTTAGATCTTTGAGTTGAGTAAGGGAATATAATTATGATGTTTTCCTTTTGTTGCTGCATTAAGTTACTGAACTAAGCTCCTTACAGATTTTTACTCATTTGTGACTGTGTGGCTTGGAATGTTTAGATTTTTCCAAGTTCTTTGAAAATTTGGTGTAATACCAAGAAGTTAGGCCTTGGTCCAAGTAGCACCTCAGTAAATAGGGATAATGTGTCTGAACCTGGTCCAGTTGGAGACAGAATGATTAAGTAGAAATTGTTGAATATGGGGATGTGAAGAAATTCTTATTCTACTTCATCTAACATTGCTTTTGATGTTCTCAAACAATGGCAAGTATTCAGATACAGTGCGGCCACTTTCCCCCCTTTTTTCACTCAAAAAATATATAAAAATATAAATAAATAAAAGATAAATTATATATATTATTACGTTTAGGCTGGAATTAAGTTGTTGAGGTGTTTGTTTTAATGTATTGAACCTTGTGTCTTAAACCGAATTTGACGTTTGCTGGATTTCAGATTGCAAATCAAGGTTTGTAGAGTGTTAGATAGATACAATGGCTGAAAAGTAGGTTAGTTTACTTGAGTTTAAAAGGATTCAGGAAGGGACTGCAGGCTATAACTAGGGCAGGGTCAATTGCTCAGATTCTACAATATGATGTATTGAGTCGTCCTTAAAGGAGGATTTAAATCTTTTAATAGAGTCCGAGTTAACTCCCAAAAGTAAAGTGTTTCTTGGGAGTTGTTTGATGAGGACATTCATCTTGGATGAAGAATGCAGCAAGGGCCACTTAATTTTCTTTTGGCATTGTTGCCAAATTTTTTTATGTTTCTAATTCCTAAAAGAAACTATTTGGTGTTGATTTCTATTCATCTAGGAGTTGATTCCTAGGTTATTCTTTATATTCCTGTAGAAATAGTGGGCCAGATGGAACATAATCTTTTATGTTTTATTCATTAGTTAGTTTGAATTATGGGCCTTTAGCCATTTTTTCTTAATAGTTATTGACGGCCGCCCCATTAAGGCCAATCTTGTAATTGCCATATTAGTTTCTAATTATGATTAATAAAAGATATTAGGGGCTGGAGAGAGTGGTACAATTGACTCTTCTCTCCTCTCTTCTCTTCTCTTCTCTTACTCTCTTGATCTCCTACTACTTATGCAAGTGATAATCAGTGATTCAATCATTTGTCCTTTGGATCAAAATTTCATTTATAAGTAGGCCTATGAGAGGTGTAATCAAATGGACTAGAAACGAATGACCACTTACCTGATTAGTTTCAGATAAAAATGGCACCGCACCACCACCTTTGTGATTTTTAAGAATCTTTTAGCCGCCTTTTCTTTATTTTCGATTTTGAACTATAAGTCCTAAGTGATTAGCCTCACATGGAGAAGCAAAAAACAGAATGTGGTGGCTAGGTCCAGTGCTGAAGCTGAATATAGGGCAATGTCTCATGGAGTGGCTGAAACTATGTGGCTAAAAAACTTGTTGAGTGAGTTGGGATTTGCAGTTGATGAACCTATGACCTTATATTGTGATAACAAAGCAACCATAAACATTGCTGCTAATCCAGTGCTGTATGATAGAATTAAACACATTGAAGTCGACAAACATTTTATCAGAGAAAATGTTGTCAAAGGGGAAGTGTGTCCCCCTATGTCAGTTCTGAAGACCAACTTGCAAACATCTTCACAAAGGGGTTACATCACTTGAGGCATCATGATTTATGTGACAAGTTGGGCATGATTGATATCTATGTCCCAACTTGAGGGGGAGTGTTAAAAGTTTGTTAGTATACTTAGATTAGTACCGCAGGGGTACTGTTGTAATTTCTCCCTTTCTATTATTTGTTTATGTCACCCTAATATAAATACTAAAAAGCTGGCGCTACCAGCCTAACCTTTTGGCTCTCAAATCTTTTTTCTCTCTTCTCTCTTCCTTCTCTTCTTCTTCTCATCTTTTGGTCAATATTTATTTTTTTTTTATTTTAGATCTTTTTAAGTCTCAGACCTGTGCAAAAAAAAAAAAAAGAAGTTGAAGGTTAGCTCCATATCTAGTCTACTTGTCCCAAGTCCCCAGATGGCTGGGACCTATGTTAGGTAAATGACCTTTTCTTTAATGTCCCAAACTTGTGAAGAAAATGCTACATGGCTAATAAATGAGATTCATATCCTTAACACAAGGCCACTTTTAAGCTTTGAGGTATGAACCTGTAAACTTGAGTTTCAAGAACTTCAAGGCTAAGCTTAACATTGTAAAACATTGTTGGGGACCCAGAAAGAAAGAACAATGAGCTGAAGGTTTATTCTAGAAGGAAAAAGAAAAAGCCATCTTAGTCTTAGGGAGCTCAACACAACTGACCAAGAACCAGCTGGCAATTAATCAAGATTTGGTTACAAGTAACAAACCAAGAAATCAAGATTAGCTGTAATAAAATGTCACATGGCTATTACTGAGATATAAAAAGAGGTCCTGTATTTTGAGAAGAATAAGAGAAGTTTTACTGAATTTCTCATTCACTTTCCAATCTCCCTTTGTTCTCTACCATGTTCAATTTAGGAGGCATCTTCTCCCTCGAAAAGAAGCCTGTGTTGGGGTAGTACCTCAACAAACATGGTTTGTAGGATATTACTACATTGTTTCATAAATTCTACTTGTTTGCAGTTATTATGAATACTGTTGCAATTACTCTTGGTTGAGTGCTTTCTTAGCAACATTTTTCTCCCATTCATGTGATGCTTTCCATAATGTTCCTTGAAATCCTTGGTACTTGGAGGCAAGGTTTAAAATTTCGATACGATACAGCCCGTATCGTATCGTATCTTTGAAAAATAGATACGGGATACGCATAGAAATCGGATTTTTCATCTTTTTTCATGCGTATCGGACTTGTATCGGGGGCGTATCGGTAGCGTATCGACGAAAAAGATACGGAAAAACTAAAAAAAATTAGAGGAAAGCAAGCTTTTTTCCCCGAAATAAGCATTCTTTCACCCCCCAAATGACTCTAAAACTCCAAACTTCATTCCTAGAGTGCTAGATTTGCAAAAGTTTGCAAGAAACAAGTGTGAGTCGTTAATTTTTTTAAAGATTTTTCAAATTTTGAAAAAATATGACAAAAATAGTTAATTTTTTTTCAATTTTTTATAATATCTCGTGATTTCTTTTTTTTTTCTTGAATGTTTAAATTTATGTTGATCTACATTTCTTACATTCAAAATCACAATTTTTTTTTTGTGTTATCTGTAGATTTATGGAAATTTCATGAAGATATTTGGGGAAAATATAAATTAACAAAAAATTTGAAAATGTAATTTTTTCTGTGCCTATAAAGACTAAATATGTTTTAGGTCTATGGATTTATCTATCATATCCATAGAGCAATTGAAATATAATATTTTTTTATTTTTTATATTTTTAGAATTAAAAAATAAATTATAATTAATTATATTTTATCATTTGATCACAACARTTGAATATATTATAATTYTATGGATGATCTATCATATCCACAGACCAATTGAAATTTCTTCTTTAATAATTATTTTTTTATTTTTATATTTTTAGAATTAAAAAATAAATAAATAATTAATTATATTTTACCATTTGATTACAATGATTGAATATATTATAATTCTATGGGTGATCTATCATATACACAAAGCAATTGAAATTTCTTCATTAATAACTATTTTTTGAATATATTATATAATGTTTATTTATTTTTTATAACTTTTGAAGATGAACAATAAATAAAAATTATTTAAATAATAAATAATTATTAATTACATTTTCACATAGAAGTTGTGCCAATGCATGTTTTATGGTTGGATAGGAGAGTTGGGGTTTTCTCATCCCATAAAACATTAAAAATTAAGAATTATAATTTATAATTATAGTTAGGCATAGGATTTTTAATGAAATTATAATTAACTACAATATATTTCTTCATAAGACCATTAAAATACATTAAATTAATGTATATACGCCTCATTGAGGTCTTATATTTAGTGTTGTTGATGTATTTTTATGATTTATTATTGTATTTATAGTGTTTCCAAGCGTATCTTAGTTTTTCTCCGATACACATGCGTATCCAAGGCGTATCCCAATACATCTCTTAAAATTACCTTTCCGATACACTTGGCATTTCCGATACTTGAACCTTGCCTGGAGGTTGATGAGTAGGCTTGTGACTATTTCCTTTGGTGGTATAAAGTTTCTCACATGCATGAATTTTCTTGAACAGCCCTGAAGGAATAGAGGCACTTTGTTCAGATTTGGAAGTGGATCATACTGATGTTAGAATACTGATGCTGGCTTGGTAAGATTTCTGCTGTAAATGCATTTCTTAAGGGTTTCCTTCAGTTTTACCACAACTTTGCACTGTAAAACTGATAACTTGCACCCATCAGGAAAATGAAAGCTGAAAAGCAAGGCTATTTTACCCTGGTATGCCACATAATTCTCTCATGTTCTAATTTTAAAGGACTCAGTAATTGAGTGTTAATATTATCAATTATTTTTTTATTATTATCCATCTAATGTGGCATTGTATTATCAATTATTTATCATGTCCTCCCACAGCATAGCTGCATAGATGGTGTGCATGCAGGGAAGACAAATTTACCTTTGATTGGTTCTCTCTAGTAGACATTTTGTATAAAAAATCAAATATGTTCTAGTGGTCATTCACATCTTTGCTAGATAATTGTACAGTTTATTCACCAGTGTTGGAATAGATAAATTCTTATTATCATCTGAATTACCTATTTTGGTATTCACATAACCAAGATGGGACCTATCAACTGGTGGATCTAGCCCCTTTGTATTTGTGCTACATGGGATGGTATTCTGTTGGTTGATCATCTAGGTAAATTAGAATTCTCCTTTCATTTTCTCATTTTCTGATGTTGTGGTTTCAACCATTCTCTTAATAGGATGAGTGGCGACGAGGCCTAAAAGCACTACGGGCTGACACTATTAGTAAATTAAAGAAGGCACTCCCTGAACTGGAGAAGGAGGTAGTTTGTTCTGGGATATTTATCAGATATTCATAAGTTCTTTACTCTTTGTTTTATCCTCCTTGTAATAAGAATGCAGTGGCGCTGATATTTCTTTTATAATCTTAATAGGTTAGGAGGCCGCCAAATTTTGTGGATTTCTATTCCTATGCATTTCGCTACTGCCTAACAGGTTTCTATGTTGTTTAACACCTGCAGAAAGGAAAAGTTCAGAAGTTTTCTCATAACGAAAATTGTGACCTTGTTTTTTTTTCTCTCTCAGAGGAGAAGCAAAAGAGTATAGACATTGAAAGCATCTGCCAATTGCTGGATCTTGTTTTAGGGTCACAATTCCATCCCCAGGTTGATATGCTCATTGATTATCTAAAAGTGAGTTGCAATTGTGTTTATATTTGCTTCCTGAGTTTTTTATTTTATTTTGGTTGAAGTTTTCTGAATCCTCTTAAATGGCTGGTCAGTTTTATATAAGAATCACACCATGTATACATTTGGAGAAATTCCCCATCTTCTCTTTCTTCCCCCTTCCTTTTAATATATTTTTCTAAGATTTCTTATAACCTGATTCACCAAGATATTTTATTTCAATCATTATATACAGACCCAAAAGGATTACAAGGTGATAAACATGGATCAGTGGATGGGCTTCCTCCGGTTCTGTAACGAGGTATGTCTTGATGGTTGTATCATTTCTTCTTCTTCTTTTTTGTTTTTTTTTTTTTTAATGTTTTCTACCTTACAAGACTTGCTTTCCTTTTTTTCTTAATTTTTGGAAATTGTCATTTGATTCTCCATGGCATGGCTACTGGTCCCAGTTTATTTCTAGAGAACATGTTATGTAAATTGAATAAGGCTATGTTTTTTAACTAACAAAGAGCAAGTTTATCATTCAGTGGTTCTGATAATTTCTCCTATTTCTTTTTGACAATTAAAAAATGACAAAAGAAAGTAAAGAAAAGAAATCCTAAGGTGATGTAGGACAAGGAGAAAATCCCCGTTAGGGTGAACTGAAATATGACAGATAAATTCATGTTTGAATAGAGGAGTCTAAATTTTGATGGGAGCAGTGTTGGAAACCCAGGGCAATCAGGAATTGGTAGTGTTTTTAGGGATGAAGAAGGAAATATAATCGCTCTATTCTCAGGTCCAATAGGGGTGGGAGATTCCTTAAGAGTGGTTATCCCTCCTACTTATAATTGTCTTAGTTTTCTAATTAAGTTTATTCATTATTGATCAAAATAAAATGATTGCTTCAAAATAACTTTGACAATGACAATGACTATTCTGCTTCTAAATTCATATTTGAAAAGTCGACTACAGACTATTTATAGACTCAACATTAAAGCTTGGATCTCCCTTTACCAACTCCTAGTTAGACTTAAAAACTGATTCAAAATAACTTTTAGCTGCTTTGGAAATAAGAAAAACCTACAGATAACACATAGGGACACCCAGTTAAGGATTTTAACTTGCTAATCCTAGTACAACTGAACAAACCAAAAACAACTCCAAGACTGATCCAAAAATAGAAAGACTCAAATCCCATTACATACTGACATCCTATTTGTAAAATGATCATAAGTCACTGAAAACATGTCGGGTTTACGAGATCTTGGTCTTGATGAATAGATAACTTTATTACTTATCTAATGGCACCAAGATCATGCAAAACAGATAAGTTTTAACCCCTGAAAAATAGGACGAAAGAAAAAGTAATATGATTGCATCAGCTTTTCAAATTTCTAAAAATTCTAATGTGATTCTATAAATCATATTGACCCTTTGGAATAACTAACACTATATCTAAGATGCAAATAAACTACACAATAACCATCATAGATTTAAATTAGCCATAGTTAGAAGCATCCAAAAATTATGGAATTGCTTCATGCTAAGTAATTGGGAGAAAACTGAATTTGGCCCATAGGAGATTCATTTGGTGTTTCAAATAGTCAGAGACTTGGAGGTCTTAAAAATCTCAAATTTATGCCATCATTAGACAGGTAATAGCATCTTTTCATCCTATTCTCTTGTGCTAGTGTTTCTCTTTGAAAAGAAAGTAATTGGGTTTTACATGTAGAAATTTCCAAGCATCTCCAGTAATCTTTTTTATATCTTTGAAATGCACTGTGCAAGCCTTCCACTGACCCTTTTCGTGTTTAATTTTCTTAACAGATCAGTTTCCCAGACCTGAGCAACTATGATCCAGACCTTGCTTGGCCCCTGATCCTCGACAATTTTGTTGAATGGATGATAGCTAAGCAAAGCTAGATTCTGCATTTTTCTTGGTGATCTTTATTCTTGGTCCCAAATTATTTCCCATTTGAGAAGGCAACGTTACTGTCATATACCATTACATAGTTTCTTGCACTTCTGGGCTATACTACAAGGTTTTCCCTTATGTACAAGTCAATTGAACATCGAAACAAACAAGATAGCATACTCTAAATATTTCCAACCGAAACACCATATCTGCAGGATCCCACTAAAATTTGACACATGGAACTTCTCACACTTAAGCTGGAACTCGTAGATGCCTCTTCTCATCTTTTGCAGAAGTTAGACCTTTGTGGTCTGGAGATATGCTTGAAAGAGTTGGTGCGTTACTCATTTAACTCGCTCCATTTGTTTTCTTGAACCTTGATTTACTGGTTAAGCAATAGCCATTTATTATAGGAATTGAAAGACATGGATTTCTTTTGTTCTGGGAAGGTAGTTACATACATTATATACCAGTCAGTAATCCATTCTATTACCGGTGAATGTAGGAGCTCGTTTGTAAATGGTTAACGAAGCTTCATAATTTTCCTGTTTTTCTGTTTTGGAGGCTTGTATTGGTAATGTTGGTTGAATGTCCACTTGACCGCGTTTGTCTTGATTTGAAACACGTGGAGAATTGTTGTTGGATCAATACCGAGAGATCCTGTCAACTCAGACAGTTGACTGTTTGACTTTTCACCCACCAGTCCACCACCTTTCTTGGCCTCTTGGCTAAGATCAAGACATCAAGTGTAGTATCTACTTTCATCAGTTTAAAAGTTTAAATTCTACAAACCCAGTGAGAAACATCAACACAGTTTTGACCTATCAACTTGGTATGAACTGTAGATTGTCAGCCTACTGAAACATTGAACAGTTTTCATGGATGGGTTTCAAATGCTGGTGAGACATTATTGGTTAGAACTTTAAGAGTAATGCTCTGAGCTTACAAATCTGTTTTCTTATGCTCCATGTATTGGGCATTTCAAGTGGGTTCTGTATCGGCATGTTAAGGTGGTCAAACACTTGTACAAGGAAAATCTGTATCCATGGCATTCTTGTCTATGGAAAAGGGGGACGGCCATGCTTTGAAGAGACTGGGTTTTGGGTATGGCATGGAGAGAGAGAGAGAGAGAGAGAGAGAGAGAGAGAGAGACCTTACAGAAGAGTAACGCAGAGAAGGGAAGCAGAAGACAAAAATCTAAAGCAGTTGAGGACTTGAGGGCTGTCAAAAGTTCATCAGAAAAAGGACGAGAACACTGAACACATTAGAGCTTACTATGCCAGCTCTTTCAAGCGTCAACAGTAGGGCTGCAACTGTAAGTGAGCCAAGCCAAATCGCGAGCTAGTCAGGCTTGATTCAATAATAGGAATTTATTTATAATTGTTTCAAACTGATTCGAGATCAAGTATCAGCTCAAAACTCGATTTGACTTGGCTCGATTACACCCGTAACACAAATAAATCGTTGGGAGGTTTGCCTTCACATTTCAATTTACACATAATTCAGCCCATCCTCTTAAGATCACTGAGCATACTACGGTTTACTACATATAATTCTTAAAATGGTGGGGATTCATATTGAATCTCAGTCGAATCAGGTTGATGCTTTTGGGACTCCATTTGATTGTAATTTCTTCTACCAATTTAAGATGCATAGCCAAACAAGCGATTCTACACTAGAATAAGATGCATCTTAAGTCGCATCAAATTTGAATAGCATTTAAAGCTACTACTTCAAGTGTGCTACAATACAAAAGATGACCATGCTTCACAGTCAAAGAATCATCTTTATATGGACACTGGTCTGTTTAAGATGGAAATTAGGGCAACAAAATGCTTTGAATGTCTTTCAAGTGAGAAGCCCATTATAAAAGTTGCTACTCCTGAATGGACCCCACTTTTTTGTGCAGTATATTTGGCTAGATCCTGACCCTTCAATTGGTGGAAAATTATTGAAACTCAGTGGTAATGCTGCTCAGAATGTGTAACCTAATTCATGAATGAGTACACTCGAGGAGCTTAGATGTACAATATCATGTTTTAAATGCAATCATGTATTTTTTTTAACCCCCCCAAAAGAACAAAACAAAAGTTGGAGACAATGTCTGCTTAATTCTTGAATAGAGAGATGAAAATTTCCTGGGGACTTACTCGAGTCATGTAAGGGTAAAATGGTCATTTTATCTTTTATTTTGGAAAAAAGTATTCCGTTGCCGGGACTCGAACCCGGGCCTCTCGGGTGAGAGCCGAGTATCCTAACCAACTAGACTACAACGGAAGTTGATATCATTATGTCATTAATATTTTATAAGGACACTGACTCCGTTAACCCCGAGGAGTGGGTCATGTTGTCTAAACTCTAAAGTATTCCCTGATGTGAGATGGGCCATTGATCGTAATCCACAAGCTCGGCTCCACTTTTCAATTATTAAAGCTGAAATTTGAAACAAAACATTTGGCCTCACGCTCTCCCTCTTTTGAACATTTAAGACTTTTGAAATTTGAAGTAGAGGCTCCAAAAGACAGGAACCATGCAAAGATTCCAAGAGTTAGGTGGTTCTTTGGACCACTTCACCCCACCCAAAAGAAGTCCTTAAGGTTGTGTTTGGTTTGAAAGAAAAAATAGGGCAACCTTTACAAACCTTATATATGTTTTTCTCCATTTCCCTACCTTTTCCTTCAAACCAAATATAGCCTAAAAAAAAGCTGGAACACATTTTTCAAGGCCTCCCGTGGCTTTTGTTGTATGTAATTTGTAATATATTAGATAATGCTGTTGTCTAAGGACCAACCTACCTACTCCTGATGTTGAATTTAGACTTTAGAGCTCAGCTACCCAAACACACCTTCTCAAGTGTGTGAACTGTGGAATCATCTAACGCATCAACTGTTGGTCTTCAGTTTACATTTAGGCAGCAAATGTAGTGAAGACAGAATTTAAGATCACTTCTGCTTTTTTTTCCCCCTTAAAACTGTGTTTGGTTTGAAAGAAAAAATAGAGAAAGGTATAGGGAAACCTATACAAGATTTGTTAAGGTTTTCCTACCTTTTTTTTTTTTTTCCTTTCCCTACCTTTTCTTCCAAACCAAACACAGCCTAAGAAGGCCTCAGCAGTTACCAAGTAAGTGAAAGATTGTAGGTTTAAATGTTGCATCCGAATACAATGTTGTTAGACTTGACAAAAAAAAAAAAAAAATCATTTCCACTGCTTTTAACTGTCCATTAGATCATTCACCGCATATGAACCATTAAGAATGTCCTTGGTACTATGGTGTAGGCCCCGTACATTGTGGTGTATTTGAAATCAAAGTTCAAAATTTCATTATGTATCGATTCATATGGATCAATACATATCATATTTGTGGGTTATTAAAATACAAAATACTAGTGGTTGAATCTCCTACCCCTGACCTATTTTTGAAAAAAAAAACGAAAATAATGTGTCTTGGTCCAACCATCTGATCCGGTCCTTATAAATAACTAAGATCTGAAAAGCTCACTAAGTCATGGTCCACCCATCTAATCTGGTCCGAGCCTGATTAATTGATACATAGAAAATTATTATGCATTTCTAAACCAAGGTACCTACCTCCAGTGGTGATCAAGAAATGGAATTTCAGAGGAGTAAACCTTTTGGATTGCCCAAGATAGACATCCAGGTTTATCTACATAACTAAATAATTTTTTTGGGAAAAATCTCGATTAGTATTTTGTACTTTGGGCGTAGTGCCATTTTAGCTCTAAAATTTTAAAATGCAACAATTCAGTACTGACTTTTCAAAACGTGTCAATTCAGTACCTACCGTTAATCAGCTGTTAAATGACATTTAAAAAAGACACAAATTCGAGTGTATCTAGTTTTTTTATCAACCATCTAAATATTGTCAAAAAATTAACAGTCCTAAATTCAATTTAGTGATTGTCCCTACTCCCTAATGTGCAGCTGCGATTTACAGTGATTGGTGAGAGAAGCAAATCTGAGTTCCTTTTCTGCACGCTGCCAAAAAAAATAAAAATGTTCCTAGGGTCTAAGAACTTGAATGTAGCATTTAGTGGTAAAGTATAATTAAACTATTAAAGAATAACCATCCAATACAAAAGCTCTAACGGCAGCGCCATAATATGAAATCCTCGGCAAATCTAAAAGCTGAAGTTTCTAAATAAGAACAACATAAAGAGTTAAAATAAATGGATTATGATGGTATGTAGAAGTAGGGGTGTAATTCGGATTGGTCTGACTTATCATTTTTACATTACTTCGAGCTAAGGCCCATTCAAAATTTAACAAAAGCCCACCTTGAATTTGCACATGTTGCATCCCTATAATAGAGTTGAATTCAGGTTGGGTCAAGTTGTCTGAGGGATCAACCTTAAACTAATCTGAAGTAAAGTCAAATTTAAAAAAAAAAAAAATCAACCCTAATCTTAATCCAATCATCAACCCAATCCATCTCAACCCGAAACACTCCTATAGTAGAGCTGAGTTCAGATTAGGTCAGAGAGGTCAACCTTAGACAAATTTGAAGTAAAGTCAGGTTTACAAAAATCAACCCTAATCCTAACCCAATCCTCAACCAAACCCAACCTGACATTTTCAAGTTGAGTTTGGTCTACTCCAGCCCAAATTGCAACCCCACTTTCACGTCTAAGATTTTAGATACCAAACTGGGCCCACTTTATTGCAGTTTGAATGCAGACCTGACAGGGCCTGAAAAACTTGTGACAGCCTGACAAGGCCTGAAAATTTTGGTAAGGGCCCGGGCAGAAATGATCATCCCTATCAAAGACATCACTCAGATCAGTGAAGCAGGAAGCAATGAGAAGCTGGAGTTCAGACTTGCACTTTCTGGGTGCCCTGTTATTATGACACACATGTTTCAAACCAGGGAAAAAAAAATGTTTCCAGGTCTAGGGTTTCGAGCTTCAATAATGTAGCATTTGTGAGGAGTATAATTAAAGAATGACCCTGAAATACAAAAAAGCTCGAATCGCGGCGCATGATATGGAATTCCTAGGTGAAGTATCTTAATTGAGGAACAAGCTAAAGAGTTAAGAGCTACTGAGAGCTGGTAAGAAAGTGTCTACTTGTGTTTGATAGGGTGGACCCCTAAATGTAGGAAGATTCATTATTTAAATCACCAAAAGAAGTTTGTGGTTTTGGGTTTTCTTTAAACTCTAATCAATTCACTAACAAGTTCTAGACATTGTAGAAAGGACAAACTGAATAAACTAGTTGGAATCAATCAACAGCTAGCAGATTGAGAAGCTGGAGTTGATTTAGGGGTGCTTGGTGGATTACATTGAGTCAGAATTTGTTTATTGTTGTAGGTGGCAGACTGAGTTGAAGATGGAATAATGAAATGGGTGAGAGTGAAGAGTGTGGTTGGAGTGTGAGAGAATCCATTCACATGGTGGGGGTCCATTGCCCTGCTTCAAGCTTTGAAAAGGAAAAGGAAAAGAAGAGAAGAATCAAGTGTGTCTTTCCAATTGAACTGAGAAGCAGTGCATCTGTCAGTGCTGTTCAATTCATCGGTGATTGCACCAAGAAGAGGTTGATACAGTCCAAGGCTGCGTAAAGTCTGGCAATTGTACCAGG